CCAATTTTTTCTCTAACGGTCAAAAAATCAATTCTCATGTGCCGAACAGGCCCTAGTATTAAAATATTCATTTACATGCCATCTTAAGAATTAGGCATCTCAAGCATGCATCTGGTTGTGAGAAGATACTTTTCTTGGATTAAGAAAGGCTCTCTATAAATTTTATTTTCTTTCGGTCAAATAAGCTTTTGTTGGATATGTTGTCAAAAATAGTGAATTATGTTTTAAATCAAGGTGTACAAAAGTTCAGTCCATAACCTCTAGTTACTAACGATGACTGCAAGACAGAAGCATGATCCTAATGTTCTATCGTGTCCCTCTGGTAACTGGTCCCTATCTAAATGCCTCTTTACTAGATGTGACACTGTTATGCATTTTCTGTTGATTGAAGCAAGAAGCGTCCATCTAAAACGATTTGAATATCTTAGATTGTAATGATATAAGTTGTAGCCTGTGGTATCAGAAATTGTGGGGAGTGATGTTTCTGAATATATGTGCATTTAGCTCACTTCTTATAAATTCAGGTAGTGGTTGAAAGACAGAACCATGTGATCCCTTGTGCTTATGTTCTTCTCTGGCCCTATCCCGCCCAATTCTTGTTCACCACAATATCTGCTGTTGAACATTTAATGTAAATGTACACATCTATATATATAACACCGAACTCAGATCCTATATATATAACACCGAGCAATCAATAACACCGAACTCAGATCCTAGCAAGTTCAAGCTTCTTACTTGTTTCTTGAGCCCTTTGTAGAGCCATGGCCATCCATATGCCTCGTATAATTCATGCTAAGCATTTTTTTGGACAATCTTCAGATATTCCGAAGGGATCTTTTTCTGTTTACGTCGGGGTCGAAAGAAAAAGATTTGTTGTTCCAATCTCTTACCTGAACCACCCTTCATTTCAAGACTTATTACATCAAGCTGAACAAGAATTTGGGTTCGATCATCCAACTGGTGGCTTAACACTTCCCTGCAGAGAGGATGTCTTTATTGATATCACCGCTCACTTGAACAGAATTTGAGACGGGATTTTTTATAAAGCACAATTTTGTAGAGAAGACTCAGTTAGAATTTATTTTCTTTTTTTAGTTAGTGAGAAAATTTGGGAGAAAGTAACTCTTCTGAATTGGTAAACAAACCCGATATGTTTTTAGAAGAATCATTTAATGGAAATTTTACATCTTTTCCATACTGATTTCAGCAAAAAAAAAATTCTCTTTTCGAACAAAACTGGATATCCTATCAAGCTGTTATGTTAAGAACACTTGTCCTCAACAAGTTCTTCTGATGGTCTGTTGTCCCATTGCTTTTGAGGTCACTCTAGCTCTGTTTGAAATCTGTTTATCTCTCTTCTAATTTTTTTCTTATTCAGAA